GTTTTTTTTTTTTTTTTTTTTTTTTTTGATTTTTTGATTCATGAACATAGTTTAGACTGTCTCAAAATTAGCGGTTAAAAACTAATTTGCACTTGTGGGAGCGTGATTTATGCTGCAAAACTTTATTTTATCTTCAACAGGTTTGAGTAGCAAAGAGAGTAAGATGAAAATCTTTTCCTTATACAAAATGTGGTCACCGTTTACATTTATTTCTCCATACAAAAGTTATCTACCCCACTATCCAACACAACCACATATTTCCAAGACAAACTATAGTTATTAACTAAGAATAGCAGTTACACCTTTCCTCAACAAAGTGAATTCTAAATAAATTCAACAAAAATCTCAATGAATTTCTTAACTATCCACTATGGTCTTCACTCGTAAAAAAAAATCTGGTCTCCTGTATCAGAGGAAACGAAGTCAATGATTTATTCATCAATGACATTTTAATGCAAAAAGAAGAATTGATAAATGGACTGAATTCAGCTTGTACATGATATATTGACAAGAACACCTATATTACTTTGCAGGATTAATACAAGCTAACTTCAGTATATTGGTGTATTACTAGAGCTGCCATTATACAAAATATTTTGACTCATATTTACTAGCCTAATTTATTAAACAATCTATTGACAAAAGCGTGTTCTGGGAAATCAATTCTACACATGAAAGATGTTGCCACCTATGTTGAAGGGTTAAAGCTCCTAAATAAGAATAAAGCATATGAAACGAAACAAATACAAGCTAAAACAACGCAATAAATAAAACCCCAAAAAGCTAACATAGACATTCTTTGGTTACATCAGGGGTGACCATTGACCAATGGCTTGGTAAAAGTTTAGCTTCGCTTCAAATTCGAAGTTTGAGAATACCAAGATTGGTTATCATACAGGGTTTGATTATATAACTGAGCAGATAACAAATACCGAGTGCTCGTGTTCAACAGGCTTAGCTAGACCTTCGTTAATTTATATAAATAAAATAATTATAAATAGCTCAATGAAAGATTTTTGAAGCATTAATTTGATTCTTGAAATATTAGCAGCATGAAATTGATCCTGAAATGATGATTTTCGGTCATTGTGTGAGATATACTGGTAAACAGAAAATTTTGGACTATTTTGATGTCCAAGTATCATTCCAGGACCAAAATGTTTATAAAATTTTAACAGTTTTCATGATATAATTTGGGTTAAAAATATATTTCAGTCCCTGTACATGTCACAAATTCTCAATTTGGCCCCCTATACGTAAAAACTTATTAAATTGGTATGTGTATGTGTGAACATTACTAGTTTGGTGCTTGCCCTCATGCATTGATCATTAACTCTCTTATGCATTCTTGATTTAATCCTTATGCATGTAAAGCATGTTCTTAATTTGGTCCTTGCATATGTTGGGTACTCTTAATTTAGTCTTTATATATAGAGACCAAATTAAGAACGCACTAATGTGTAAGGACCAAATTAAGAATGTGCAAAGAAATTAACAGAAGCAGGGAATAACTAGTAACATTTACACATATAAGAACTAATTTAATAAGAATTTATGTATAAGAATTAAATTGATAATTAGCGACACGTACAGGAACTAAATTATATGTCTAACATATAATTTAATATTTCAAAAACTGTTAAAAAAATTTTAAATTACTCCTATGATCTCTTTAGCTTCATTAAAATTAAAATTAAGTGTTTATAATTTAAAAATCTATACTAGGCACACCATATACGTCCTTACAAAGACAGCAGTTAACTAAAGATTGCATACTTTAAAAGTTCATATTAGGTGTCCTAAAGAAGTCCTTACTAACATACAGTCCTTAAGTTTTGCTAAACTATATTATGGACACATCACACATTTGAAAACTCAACTTCAGGAACCTATTTGACCAATGCAAAATGAATAGTACCTATAGTATGCTTTATCTATTCTTTCAAATACATCCTAATAGTTTAGCAAAGGTTAATGACTATTAACTACCGGTGAGTAAAGACTTATTCAAAAATATTGGGCAGTACAGGAACCCAATTATAAAATTATAAATTCAAAAGACCTATTTAAAAACTTCAATGAAACTATATGGAGTTGGGATCTATTTGAATAAACTTATCAAGAAGCACTTCTAAGAGATTAAAAAAAAAGGAAGGAAAACGAGATAAGTTTCTCCATAAACTAAAATTAGTTTGTACATAAGCTAATTTGTAGATGTTCTCTCATATTAGCTTCTCTAGAAACTTGTTTTTACATAAACTAATTTTAACTTATGGGGAAACTTATTTCATTTTTCCTTCTCATTTTTCTTTCTCTTGGAAATGCCTCCAGAGAAATTTACACAAACAAATCCTTACAAAATAATATAACCAAACAAAAAAAATCTTAAAATAATCATCAGTATGTGGCTTGAGCTTCATAAAACAATATATAATAGCATTTACTCAAAACAAGGGAACAAATTACAGCCCATGCAGATTCCCAAGAATCACAAATTTCACAAATGTATTGGATTTAGGATGATAAGTAGTAGAATTAGTTAATAAATACTTACATCTGAAACTGACTTTGCAGGCTAGCATCATAACGGTTAACTAACTAGAATCCGACATCTTTAGTGATTTAGGCCTTCTATACCACAATATTGTGAACCATATAGTCCTCAACAGAACCCCATTCGCAAAATGAGGAATAAATATACGTCCCCAGTAAGGGTAATATGGCCCTGGCAATTTGATCAATGTGAAGAAAATTGCAATGACAATTAAATGCCATGGAACTTCAGCATCCTGAAAAAGAGACCAGTCATAAGCTACAGTAGAAGGGTGAAATCAAGCAAGACATAAGCTACAGTATAGTAATGGAGAGGGGACCACCAGATTAAGTCTCTCATATATTTTCCATTATAAGTTTATAACCAATAAAAATAATCTCAATATATTTATAATACCAGCATGAGTCTCTAATAGACATGCCCCTGTAGAAAAAGGCAAGCATTCAGTTTTGATATATATCATCAAATTATTCTTGATACAAGCCGGATGCCTAAATTAGAATTTGGAGAGAAATAAACATCTAAGAAAGTCATCGTATTTTTAATTCACTGTCAAATTTCTGCACACGAAATTCATCAGGTGGTTTGAGATTAACAAGTTAAAAAGAAAAATGCCCCATTGTTAGCAACTCAAGAAATGGAGGTAGTGTGGCTATTCAAATCTTTTAGTAAATGAGTGAAAGAAAGAAATCATATAATGAACCTACAGCAGAGCTAAGGCATCACAACTGTTTCATTCTAAATGTGGGAAAGTAATTATTGAGAAAACAAAATTTATGATCATACCTTTAGACGTGGAGATAACTCAAGAGCAGTCTCTTTAAGGATCCCAGCAATAGCAACTCCAAAGAGAACTGGAAGCGGAACAAGAACTAGCTTCCTTTCATGCGCACAGTAGGACAACTCACTGAGGGAGGTAACTGCGAATACGGGCACAGCCAGGTATCTGATGACAAACAAAATAAGATCAAGAATAAGTTGTATGAAGTTGTCCAAAGCTTTGCTCCAGGGGAAATTCTTCACTGGCTCAGGAGAACTATCCCAAAGCTTTCGTGCTTTGTCTATTAACTGGTCCAGCTTCATTTTCCCATGATCATCTGATTGCTGTGCAGACATATTCATAGAACAGGAGATTTTGGTCCCTGTCTTCTGAGATGCACAATATGGTTTAACACTTGAGCAGCAACTGTGCTTCTCAAGAAAACACGATGTTCCCTGTGCAACAGCAAAAAGAGGAAATTTTAACTTATGAAGCCACTAGCCAGACCTTAGAAAACCCTTTTTTAACCAAATGTAGAAGTAGTCAAGATTCAAAAGAGTTTAATAGGTATGCATTGCCAATGTAAAAAATTTTACACTGTCAACCAATAAAAATATTATTCTACAAATGACTTTTAGGGTAGTTGTTATAAAAGTCAATAAAATTATCATACATTGTCATTTTTTATTGGATGATAGTATGAAAGACCTTTACACTCTTAGTGCATCTATTATTTAAGACATGTTTGGATAAACTTCAAGAACATTTATGCGAGAAAAAATTAGGAGGAAAAAATGAAATAAATTTCTTCATAAGTTAAAACTAACATATGCATAAGTAAAAATAAGTTTTGGAAAACCTATAAGAGAAAGCTTCTAGAAATTAGCTTATGCATAAGGTAATTTTAGCTTACGGAAAACTTGTTTCATATTTTTTTCTATATTATTTCTGAACAAATCCTTAGAGTCTGTCTGAAAGAGCTTATTTACAGCTTGCTTGAACTTATGGTATAAGCACTTGTGCAAACTTTTGGGAAAACTTAAGAAAATAGCTTATGACATTTTCATAAGTTGTTTTCAGCTTATTTCAATAAGCTTTCTAGGATAACATTCGCAAACAACTTACAACCTATATTGGAACAGTTTAATCCAATTTCCTCTTTAATAGTAGAAACAACTTACACATAAGTGCTTATATGATAAAAATCTTATCAATAAGACCTTAATTAAGCTATTTACCCAAACAGACCATTATTCAATTTAAAAACTCCAAAACAAATGATAACCGGCAATTTTCAGATTGAGTAATGCATTATACACAAGTTGTACGATCAAAAAATTTCTAACCCTAAAACAAATAATTATAAGTTGTGTACATTAGGGACAGTGTCTTTTTCTTTTGCTATTTTTTAGTATCCTTCACTATCATTTTTCTTTCAGACTACAACAGAATATGAAGAATTGCCTTACTATGTGGAAGCAAGTATATTGTAAGAGAAAATGTTGAAAAGGGTACCTTGAATCCCAGAAATGGAGGTAAGGGCTGGAAACGAATATTGGATTAGCAAAAATAAAATACCAGAACGGGCCATTCTGGTTCCAGGTGTATTCCAGTATTTTGGGATCCACTTACGTGGCATCTACGTGGCATCCGCCTGACATCCACGTGGCCATCAGTTAACTCCGTTTAAATCATTTAGACGGAAGTCCCAAATTGCAATGATTTAATTTATTGGGACTAAATTGAGACCTAAAATTAAAGTGAGACTAAATTTAAACAAAAAAATATTGTAAGGGACCAAAAGAGGTATTTAACCTTTAAGAAATGTGTGAAACCGATTAATATGTGAAAAATATGTTGAAATTTTATTAATTTCTAGTTTATTAAATTAAATTCTTTATTTTATACAATAATTGTAATGTAGTATGTGTATTTTGTTTTAACGTGTAGATTGTCAATGCCGAGTTTATGAAAAAAAATAAAATAAAATATATCGAGCATAATTGTATTAAGAAAATTTATTCTACACTTTATTATGAACTATATCTTTAGTATTACCTAATAAAAAAACTATATTTTTAGTGTAATCTACATATTTATTTGAGATAACAAGAATTCTCAGTTTTTTTTGTAACGAGTAATGATAACTTTAACAAAATTTATATAGGGTAGTTATTAATCACAAGTAACCTTTTTTTATAACCATAAAATTGATACAAAATATATACTACTAAAAAGTATATGTAAGTTCTTAAATTCCGACCTTATAGTTATTTTTGTAATTTTTCTATCGATAAAAAATAGTAAAAATCCAAATGTATATATGGTATTCATGCAATTCATTCATATTTCTTTGACTTTCAAAACATACACCGTATTGTACTCGATTTTCTTTTGAAAATAAAACGGTCGTATTTAGTTGGAGTCTTTCGATGTCTAAATTATTTGAGAAGAGTTTTTGCATCAATCGTTCTCCAAGTATTTTTTCTTCTATAATCTAGTCTCTTAGATTGATGATAAGGAGTCCTCTTTTATTATACACCCCTTATGTGAGATTAATATTTTTAAGTAGCATGTTTCACATTTTTTCTTTGAGTTGCTAGTAATAATTTAAAAAATCTATAATTTAAAGTATTAAAAGTAAAATCGTGGATAGATGAGTTCTTAAATAATGTGGATAGATAAATTCTTAATTAATATTATTAGTTGCTCTGTTCTTCGCGTATAAATTTTTATACTTATTTTGAGTTCGATTATAATTTAAATATGTTTTTAGTGCTATAGTTATTTCAATTTTATTTTTGATTCTTATATCCTAAAAGTTTAATTTTAGTTCAGTTTTAAAATTTTTATTTTGGTCTCTACTAGCAACAATATGTCAAGGCATATATGCCATTAAAAAGTAGTTTGATAGAATTCAACAAAAAAATTTATGAAAAAAATAATTTCTTTATTGAATTGAGAAAACAGAATTATTTGAGAGACCTAAACTCTCCACCCCAAAATTGAAACCATAAATCTAATTCAAAATGTTTTGTTTTAGTATGCATGACTAGATTGGTAGATATAAGAACGACCTTTTGATTATCACACTAGATTAGAGGTGGTTGTTTACTCTTGATATGAAGTTCGAAAAGGAAATCCTGAATGTATTGAATTTTTGCAACCAGACTTACCAAACTTCTGAATTCTGCCTCTGTGCTAGATCTAGATACAACTCTTTGTTTTTTTCCATCCAAGATATGATATTGGATCCAAGATACACACAATTACCAAATGTTGATCTCATGTCTTCTTGATCACTTGCCCAATCCGAATCACAATAAGCAAGAATTTCGGTATCACTGGATTTCTTATAGTGTAAACTATGTTGAGAAGTACCTTTAAGATATCTTAGTAGCCTCTTTGTTGCTTTCCAATGAATCTCAAGAGGATGGTGCATGAATTGACACAACTTATTTAATGTGTAAACAATGTCTGGTCTAGTAATTGTAAGATATTATAGAGCTCCAATTACTGACCTATAAAGACTAGGATCCTGACAGACTGTAGTACCATCATTTATGATTTTTGAGGGAGGTGCCATTGGAGTTTTGATAGGCTTGGCATTAGACATGTTGAGTTTGTCAAGCATATCTATTAGATACTTGGTTTGAGAAAGATGAATACCTCCTTCATTATCGGTGTTAACTTATATTCCTAGGAAATGATGAAGTTTGCCAAGATCTTTGAGAGGAAAGGATTTATGAAGAGTCTGAATCAGATTTTGTATGACTAAAGAAGAATTGTTGGTGATGATTATATCATAAACATATATGAGAATGCATATGGTAGTGGTTCTAGAAGTAAAGATAAACAAAGAGTGATCTGATCTAGCTTATTGAAAACCCAATTAGAGTAAGTTGACATAAGTTTCTGAAACAAAGCTCGTGGAGCTTGACGCTTGTGGTTTTCACCAGAAGTCATAGCAGACGCGTAACAGACGACCTAGATCACACCACTAACATGGAAAACAAAGCAGCATTAAGACGACTGATCGCGCAGGTCGAGCAGATGCGGCAACAACACGCCGCAGATCTACAAAGTATGCGTGCCAAGCACGAAATTGACCTAGCCGCGATGCGGACTGCCAATGAGGCTGACCTAGCGACTCTACGCACGGAAAACAAAAGGATTCGCGCTCAACTCCTGCGGCAACACTCTGATCACCCCCCTCATACAAACAACCGCAATGAGGAAGAGGAACACTCCACTCTCCCCGACCAAGGTCGAGGAAAAGGACAAGGACGAGACAGAGGTCATGATTCAGGAGCTCGCACGGACCAGCCCTCTGCCTCCCAACTCAACCCCAGCGGAGCAATGCGAGCCGAGGTAAGCCAGGAAAAAAGACCAACTCCCCTACAATGAGTAATCAGTACAATCGCAGGTGGTTTCGCAGGAGGGGGCGCCAGCAGCTCAGTCTGGAAAAGACACCTGCGCAACATCAACCACAAACACTTTACCACCTCAGCTTTGCACCAGAGTGCACCGACGATTACTTTCACAAATGACGACTATGCCGGGGTCAACCCCAACCAGGACGATCCCATGGTTATAGCCGTAGCGTTAGCCATTGGGAGGTTCGCAAAATGCTGATCGACCAAGGGAGCTCGGCCGACATCCTGTATTAGTCGACGTTCCTCAGGTTAGACGTCCCCCACTCTCTCATACAACCTCACACAGAGCCCCTAGTCGGTTTTGCAGGAAGAAGCGTTCACACTCGGGGGTACGTGGACCTACTGACAACTTTTGGAGCACCTCCGGATACAAGGCGGGTCATGGTTCGATACCTCCTCGTGGAAGCCGACACCTCCTATAACATCATCATCGGGAGGCCAACCTCCATAGATTCATTTTCGTAATTTGCAAACAGTATATAAATTCCCTTTGTGAAATCCCTGTGGCTGTTCCATGTATATTTCTTCCTTTAAATCACCATTGAGAAAGGCATTATACACATAAATTTGATGGGTTAGCCAGCCTCTTGATTTCCTTTATTATTGCTTGGATGTTAAAACCCCGTTTGCATAACCATGCCCAAATGTCAAGGGATGACATTTTATTAATGCATGTGATTAAGAAGAAAATCAAGATTGATTGGGTATCAATTGTAAATGACTGAATGTGAAAGGCAAGACGGAAAGAGGATGGACCGATTCCGTATGCTCTGTTGTTGTCAAAAAATTTTGAGAATGCAGGGGTAGACTTAATAGGGGAGAAGAAAATAATTCTCCATGCTTCTAATAAGATTGAGAAATCTTCCTTGCATCACATGGGGATGCTCAAACAGGAAGATAAGTGGGTATTCAAGGGAGATGTACCTCCAACCCCTGAACCGGCGACCGATGAAGATGGCGTTCCATCACATGATGAAGACCAGCCACCAGCATTAGTTAGGCTGAAGTTTGTCAGACTCAAAATACCTAAATCCAATTATAAGAAGAAAATTAGACTTACCATGGCGATGTCGGGTAACGCCATAAGAATTGAGACCTTCAGTTACTTCAGTGAACAATAAAATTTCCTTGGCACTGCGCCCTACAACAAGAACCAAGCAATAGAACCACATGAAAATGAGAAACTTGGGCTGAGAATGTTTTGTGGAATACTTGTACTCCATCAGTTCCATATTGATTGATGTTTAAGTATTTTGCACGCAGATTATGAAAAATAATTACTCCAAGATAATATAAGATTTTATTAGAAATTAACTTTACTAAAATATCCTTATTCTCTTTCCTAATTTCTATAAATGCATTACTAAGTATTCAAAGACAATAGTATTTAACTATTTATTAAGGGGCAACATTGAAATAGTTGTTTCAATAATTTCACTGAAAACATCAATCAATATGGAACACAGGGAGTAATAAAATACAAAAGAGATGATGCATCAAGATTCTAACCTGCTCCACTCACACCAGATTTAGCATCAATGATAATATTTTTAGTCTTAATAAGACTAGCCTGCAAAACAAAGAACACTCAGAAGAAACTTAAAATCAAAGGGGATATGAAACACTACATAAAATCAATAAATACAGAAAAATCAGTTTTTAAAATAGGAAGCATAAAGTTGAGCCTAAGTCCTTGGACAAAGCTTCCATCCCTGGAAACAACTTTGATCTGGCATCTTGAGTGCTTCAGTCAAAGTAAACAGGTACACATCCAAAAGCAGAACTCATATATTACCCTGAATACCAGATATTTCCCACCAATCCACTAGATAGATCTAAAGGCATAGCAGCAATATCTCAGAATTGCCATCTCATGCCTTTCAATGCAAACTATATGGATGACAACAACATATCTTCAATTCGCACTTCTCCCTTTGTGCTATGAATGCTCAGTTGTTCATGTTATAGAATAAATGCAGATATGCAAACTTTTTTCTATTGATAAAAAACAAAAATTATTTAGAGAAAGTGATAGAAGTACAAAAGGTTGGAGGATAAGCAATCCAATCATCAACAATTAAAAACAAGAGGAGAATAAACAAGATAAAGAAAAGGCCAATCTAAAAACTAGTCATTGAAGGAGAGCTATCAGTTTCTTCACATCCAATACACTGATTTCCCCGTACAGAGCAAGAACTGAATACCAGATAAATCTGTTTAAAAGTGAAGGGTACATCAAGCTTAACACCCTGAACCATAAATGTGAAGCCAAGGAAAAGCGAAGACTAACAGATACAAGTTATAGTCACACAGAACAGACTCATTATAACACGATTTAAAACAAATTTTAGCATGTTAATCCAACAACATTTTTTTTAAGAGGGAAATTCACTTATTCTACATATGCATTATGTAATGCAAAGGAAACATGCTGACCTTTATCAATGGGACAAGAGGAAGTTGAATAGATGTTGGATAACAACCAGGGTTAGCAACTAGACGTGCATTCTTTACTTCTTCCCTTAAAACCTCTGTCAATCCATATATAGCCTCTTTCTGGATACAGATAACAAACTCAGCATTAAAAATAAAATTATACAAGAAAGGTGGTTTCAACTTGAGATTCAAAATTCTCATAGATGAACAGAAATAAAAGTTGGCAAGTCAAATTCATAACTAGTGATAGCATTGTACTTCATCAAATATATACCTTTCGAAATTCTAACGAGGTTCAACAGTTTGCTAAGCAAGATTAGATGAAATGAAAGACAGAAGACAGAGCAACCTAGATAAATGAGAATGTTTTGTAATTGAACACGACAAGAAGTCCCACCTGCAAGTCTGGTGCTCTGTGTGGCTGACCATACCACTCTTCATACTCAGAAATATCTTTTAGACGAAAATCCTACAAAATCCCTCATTTAGAATTCTGATATGAAGCAAAACTTTGTTTATATTGTATAATGATTTGTTTTTGGAAAAAACAAACAACAGTTATTTTAAAACATACTGCAGAAAGATCCACAATCTTCAAGTGCTTTGGTAGGCCTTTAATTATTTCCTGGAAACAAGAAGAGAATCTAAGGATTAATTTTAAGCATTGATAAATTTATCCTGTGCTTTCTTGGTCAATTCAGGGAATTACAAAACTCAGAAGCAATAATGAAGAACCTGAGTAGTTCCATGTGGCAAACAACAGAAAACAGCATCCACATCAGAAAAGTTTGCATCCTTTATTGCAATCAAATCTGGCAAGTCCTGCAAACATGGGTTAAGTTCAAATTCTGTAATTTACAAAACAACACATCAACATGCATATGTCATAATCATGCCATGAGGATTTCTCAAGAAAATGAAGAATGAGACTAGAACCAACCTCCATGATCATCATAGAAAAGGCATGCAAAATTCACTTAGAAGCAACAAAACATATAACATACAATACCCACGATAATAATAGCTAGAAATGAAGAAAAATATCTTCTTAAATACACATGATCATATCTAAAACCAACCGTACCCGAGTGCTCAAATGCGGGAATACAGACGAGATTGGCTGCCCAGCTTTCCTATCAGCAGTCATTAATGCAATTCCAAATTGTGGATGATTTGCCAAAAGCCGGATAACCTAAACAAAAAAGCATCACATTCTCACAACATAGTAACACCAGCTCTACACTGACAATGATATCAAGATGCTTGGTTGAGTACATGGAAAGTGATAATGCAAACAATTTGAAATGAAAGCCACTTAGCAGTTTACACTTGAGTAGTTGAGTTCTATATACCAAAATTACAAGTGAAGAACAAATTAAATATAACCAAGGTTTTAAATTGGGAAATTGCGATCAATGCAACAAAAATTGCAGTTTCAGAGACCCTAAAAACCCTGACATTGTGGCTGAAATTGTTTTTTAGAACCTTGATTATATTAACTCATTCTCATTATAAGACAACTTGGATTAAAATCACTTATACTTGGGCCCCTTATTAATTTTCCATGTTCCAACCTTTCCACACACTAAACCAAACACACTTAAAACCAGTGTGTGCCATATAGCTTACCTCAGAACCAGTGTAGCCACTAGCTCCAAGAACACCAACACGAACTGCATTTTGTGAAGATGGGTTCCCACTCTTGCTCAAACACTTCACAAGTAGCTTCCAATCTTGTTGCTTTCTCACCTTTCCAAACTCCTGAAAACCACCAACCAACAACATAAAATTGGCGAATCAAACACATTTATCCACCAAAAAAGAATAAGAAAAAGTGGAAGAATTAAAACAAAACATAAATTATTATGATTATTCCGCAAACTACAAAACAAATAAGAGGGTACCTTGGGGTTGTTCCAACAGTTGGCACTGTGGAAAGAAACGGAACTGAAAGAGATGGCACTCATTTTGTGTAGCTAAAAGGGTTGGGATCAGAGAATTTGGTGTCAACAAATTGTGAAAATGGGAAGCATTGCATAAAGAGTAAGGAAGCTTTATTTTATTTTATTTTATTTTAATATATTTATTAAGAAATTAAAATCGCAACTTAGGAGACAGTAGCCCACAGTGTGTCTGATGACGGCGACTAGAAAACCAGACCCAAACACCAAACTAATTTTACAATTGATTTTCACCAAAAACAAAATGCACTTTGCTGAAACCAACTGTCCTAAACTCTTTTGTAAATTTAATTGTTTGTGAATTTTTTTATTTCTTTGATTTGCACTCGTTATAATTTAGGCAAAATACTTAATTTGGTCCCTTATAATAATTAATAGTTTCAATTTTGTCCCTCTATAATTTTTTGTTTCAATTTGGTCCCCAATAATTTAAAAAATGTTAATGTCGGACTTTCCATCCAAATTTCACAAACGGTGTTAAATGTGATGACGTGGATGCCACGTAGATGCATAGGTGGCATGCATCCTCTCTCCCTTCTTTAATGACCTGGAACGGCCCGTTTTGAAACCAGAATGGCTCATTCCACTTGCATTCTTTGTGTGTTAATTTTGCATCTAGAACGACCCATTTCAGATGCAAAATTAACACACAAAAAATGCAAGCAGAACCGGCCTTTCTGGTTTCAGAACGGGCTGTTCCAAATCCAAGAATTGTTCTTAAATTTCTTAGTTTTCTCCATATTCAAATTTTGACCGGGGCAAATTCTGAACCAAGATTGATTTTCTTTAAACTTTTTAATATAGAGTATCGTCTCAATTTGGAGGAATTTAATGGTATCTTTGGATTTCAAATCATAGGGGAAAAAAGATCCAAGATCATTTAATTCATACATGTTTTGGGGGTTGTAACATGTCATACACAATGGGAGGCTGGTAAATGCAATTCATCTAGATTTCGTTATGTTGCCATTGGAATTATGCATAGGTTTATTGCATCTATTGTTATAAGTCGTGGCGGCTCAAACAGTAAACTACGCCTAATTGATTTATTATTTATATGGGCAATGAAAAAATAGGGATGAGAAGATCAACTCTGGTGCATATTTTAATGTTTGAATTTATGTTATGTTATGAATTTTTGTTTTCAATCTTTGAACCACATTGCTGCATTTTGTTGAATATTTTGCTGAAATGTAACACTTAAATTAAAATATTAATCCTGGTTGGCGTTCTGGAACGGCTCGTTCTGAAATCAGAACAGTCCATTTTGAAAGTAGCACGGCCCGTTCTGGAACCAAAAAGGGTCGTTTTGATTCACTCGTTGTATGTTACATTTGCATCTGGATTCTTGGAACGGGCCGTTCCAAATGCAAAATTAACACACAAAGAATGCAAGCGGAACGGGCCGTTCTGGTTTCAAAACGGGCCGTTCCAGGTCATTAAAGAAGGGGGAGAGGAGGCATGTCACCTATGCACCCACGTGGCATCCACGCCATCACATTTAACACCGTTTGTGAAATTTGGACGGAAAGTCCGACATTGACATTTTTTAAATTATTGGGGACCAAATTGAAACAAAAAATTATAGAGGGACAAAATTGAAACTATTAATTATTATAAGGGACCTGTTCCTACCGTAAGTCCGCCAATGTTCCTATCGTAAGTCCGCTGACATCATTAGGGTCACCGCATCCGAGGTATTGTCTGTTTTAGCACTCGTTGGGCCGTCACGGTTTTGTCCTTTAAAAGGCGCCTCGGTGGGTTAAGGAGGGAAGATATTTATAAACTACCCTTAGCATCAGAGTCTCTTTTGCAGGTACTAACCCCACTTCGGAACAGCCGACGTACCCAGTAAGGAAGGCTCACCAATCTTGCCTAGCAGATCGTCCTTCTCGACAGATCTCCGGTAAGAACAGGACCAAATTAAGTGTTTTGCCTATAATTTACTAATAGGTAGACTTGTAAGATGCACGGATAATATTAGTAATGTTTAATATTTTATTTTTAGTATATTAATAAATAAATAAAAAATTATTTAAAATAATTAAAAAATAAAACATAAACACATATTATGGATACTATTAAATTGAATCATTTACTAAAATATGTAAAACTATGGTTAATAGTATGAATGTAATTATTTTCAAAAGGTAAATAATAATAAAAATAAATTTGAATAATAGAGGCATATTTTACTTTTAATCAAATCAAAGCATGTTTAGAACACCATAAAATCACATCAACAATTAAAAATCTCGTTAAATAAGTTTAATTAATAGAAAAGTTACTTCTTATAACTTATGTTGGATGTAAAGAGAAAATGGTTTTCAAAAAAAAAAAAAAAAAGAGAGAAAATGGTAATCCATGTTATGAGTTAGGTTAAGAATAGACACTCAATAGTATATAAACACTTAGAAGAGTGTATGACTATTTCATTTATTAAACCAATGGCAATAACAACACAACTTTGCAAATGAAAATTTTCGCGAGTTTAAGCTTCCTTCTTTTCCCCCACTCGTGTTTCCTATTTTGCTTTTCAGTTTAATCCCAACGTTCATTCTTAATTGCCTTCGATTATTGTCATGAATGAACATTCAAATTTAAATTCTTCTATTGTCAAACTCTTGGAACACAATATATATAGAGTTAATCACCTATACACTGTTAGTATAAAGTTTTTTTACACTGACAACCAATCATATCTTTTAATAGTAATATATCAGTTGCTTAATTATTTAATGAAATAATAATAAAATAAGTAACTTTAAAAGATATGATTGGTTGCTAGTGTAAAAAACATTACACTGCCAATGTAGGGATGATTAACTCATATATATATTCTATGATTATGATTCCCTTTCTCACTTTAGGAGAGGTTGGAGGCAACTAGCAAATTTATTCCTCCGGTTGCAATTTAAATTTTCGCTTATAAATATATATCATTTTATTACTATAATTTTTGGTTAATGAGATATAATAGAGATGATTCAATTAATAGAAATTAAATGATTCCAAAATTTGATGTATTAAACTTTTTATTTATTTATTGAAATTAGAATAACGGCATCATAGTTCAAACTATTATTCAAATTTCACCACTAGACTAATCATAATAGTTCTTAATGTATTAAACATTATACTAATTAATATTAGTTTTTTTTATAATATATATATATATATATATATATATATA